AGACAGCAGATATACTGCTTCCCCCCCCCCCTCCATGGCAAAAGGGCATAACTGATATTTTTGGCAAAAATTAGTTATATAGCCTAGTGGGGTCAGTACATCATGTTACACATGTTGACACAAAAAAAATTGTAAAAAAGTGTCCCCCGGGCTAGATAGGGGCATGGCAAAAGGGCATAACTACACAATTTTCATTAAATTCCCAGGGCAAAAGGGCATAACTGCAAAGATAGGCTGTGATACGCTGAAGCGTGACGTTCTTTCAACAGCCAACCAATCAGAAGAGAGCTTTCTCCCTGGTTACAATAAAGGTTGCATGTTAAGTTGTATTATTTTTATTATTCGTACTGTTTGTGTACTCACAATTTGTAAATAGAAATTGGTTAAATAGTATGATTCTTGACAGTAGCATATGTCTAGTTAATGTTAGGCAAACATGATAAGCCTAGTTAATTTATGCTATATAATCTTGCCTTACTTTGAATGGCAACAGTTTAATACTATGGAAATAAACTATAGGAAAATAGTACCTGTTTAATAGAAATAATTAACCACGACAGAATAACAATTCACATTTTAACTAAAAATAAGAGTGACAATGAGGGACAACTAAAACGATTATTTAGCAAATAACTATGGCAAAGAGGCACGACTACAACATTTATTTATAGCAAATGGCATGACAAAAAGGTATAAATGCACAGTTTACTCGAATCAACTGTGTTCACTAAGCAAACAACAACTTATTTTTCCATGTAAATCTATATAATATATAATACATTTTCTAAATATTTTATTAGAATATAAAAAAACAATAATATTCGTAATCATTTCATTATTACTTGAATTTGGATCATAGAGAAGAATTACTATTAATAATAATAATAATAATAATAATAGGCCTAATTTATATTGTAATTACATGACTTAAAATATAAATGTATTATTTTACTTTGTGAATAAAATTTAAAAAATAATTGTAATTCTTGTTTAACGTACACATAGAAACAGTCACACGCGCATTCTAACTAAACAGCAGTTCTATTTCATATACGCATACGCATGCATCCTTCACGCAGTGATGTAACGCCTATGCGCTCTTGTGCGGGGCCCCAGACCCCTAGGGGTCCATAAGGCCCCCTACCCACAGGGTCCTCGATTTAGCACCTTGAGCCAAAAAGGCTTTGTTGATACATAATAGCATACTAATGTTAATTCATTTTCTTGTTTGTATACTTGGTTAGCCTATACATGGGTTTTTAATCGTTTGTAATTTTAGTATTTATTATTTAATGCGTTTCTTTGGTATTATTGTACCTTTATTTTATAGTTTATACATGACTAACATATGAAATTATATATTGAATTTTATTTTTGAATAATCTGACTCAAAATTGCGTTGAAAGGAACTTGGTACTGATATCCTTTTGCCAAAGTTTGTCAACATGTCTTGAATCAGAACACCCACGGCAAAAGGGCATAACTGACATTTTAAGCGCAAAAATCAATATTTATAGAAAAAATGTGTGCTACACTGGAAGAGACATTATTTGTCTATTTGAATACATTAACCATGAATCAAATACTAAAACACATTTTAGGGCTAAATAAATTACACGTTTTGCTTAATATCTCCAAAACAGCAAATTGTCAGTTATGCCCTTTTGCCATGGGAGGGCAGGGTCACTGTCCATATTAGAAGCAAAATTCTTAATGCCAAACTAAATGGCAAACACAAACAATTCAGCTGCTGGCCTAAGCAATAACATCCACTTTATGTGTATATAGTACAAATCTCTGTTTTATTTATTAAAATCATAAAATATATATTTTACTAATTTTTTTTATTTAATTTAGCCTGATGGGAGGCAACAAATTTGATACGATTGAGGAACACACGTTTATACTAAATGGTTTCAACACTTGTTATTTGTAAGTTATTTCATCGTTTTAAGGGTCCGATGAATTACCAACAAGGAAAGGTAATTACTAAAATTATAGGAAATTTACCGCAATGAAAGAGTAATCACAAGAAAGCAGCATAACCACAAGGAAAGCTAAGACACACAATAAATATCGCAATATAAATGATTTACCATAATAAAAAATACACTAATTCGCCTATTTACTGTATGTCTATGGATTTCATTAAGTATAAAAAATTGTACTTTTGCTATACCGTATTATATAGATGTGTATAAGAGACAGGTATATATATATATATATATGAGATATTAGATAGTAAAATGTTGTTAATACATTATTACATCAAAGCAACAATTTTTGGTTATCATAAATGAATTATATTTTTTATTTTTTTATTTTATGATACCCTCTAATTGTGATTGTTTAATTAGTTGTATTAGTAAACTTTCGTTTAGATTAACATATTTTTACGCAATATGGATTCATTGTGTAAACTTTGCTATGATTGTTCCCACTTTTATTGTATTATTCTGCTATAATAAGATGTGTGGTAATTCCTCGGACCGTCATAGGATAAAAATTCATTTTATATTATTCTACTTTGCAAAATAATTTCTAAATTGTGTAAATCTAACCAATGTTCGTTAATTATTTTAATTGATATTATTATTAGGCTTATTGTTATCAGGCCTATTATTTCTATTATTATGAATATAATTTTTATTATTAATTTTATTTTTGTTATTGTTGTTCGTATAATGATAATAATAATAATAATAATAATAATGATAATGATAATGATAATGATGATTATTATTATTAATGTTATTATTAAAAGAAAATTATTAATATTTGTTTAATTATTATTATATTATTTTTCTTACATTCCTTACCACATGGTCTAGCAGGCCACTGCATTACGTATCTCTCCTCCAAAGCCTTCCATTTACTTCCTAATCTCGTTATTCTCAGCCAGTTGCTGTTGTACTCATATCTTGCCTTTGGTTTACTCATTTTTTTTTCTTTTTCCCCTACCCTGTTGAAATTTGGTTGCCCTGCTGGTCCATCATGCAACGTGTCCTGCCGATCTCAATATGAATCTTTTCATCTGTTTTTATCAGGTCGCTTGTTTATGTCCTTTCCTTTATTACCCTCCACGGTACTTGATTTATTATTGTGATGCCTAACATTCTTCTTTCGATTGCATACTTGGTTGTTTTAACTTACCTATGTTCTTTTGAGTGAGTTTTCACGTTGCTGATCCATATGCGATAGCAGGAAAACTGCACTGATCAAAAACGCTTCTTCTGAGACCATTGGTATAGCGTAGTTGCAGAGGATGTCTTTAAAGTGGCCAAATGCTCGTCTCCCTGATATCAATCTATCTGTGTGAATTTTTCATTTGCATCTTATAGGCTGGTTGTTTGGCATAATTATTTGTACTTTGTGACTTGCTCAATTTCTTCTCCATCGATTATAATTTTCTTATTTGTATTGAAATTTGTCATAAATTTGGTTCTTCCCTTCTATGATTATTATTATCCCTACTTTCTTTCTTTCGTCACTTATTTTTTTCCAGTTGGTCTTGCATCTTGCTAACTGAATCTGTCACTGGACAATGTCATCAGCAAATTGAGGTCTGTCATTGACTCGCCATCTATTTCAATCCTATTCTCTTAAGTTTTTGCTTTCTTGTTGCTCATCTCGTCTCACAATATAGCTTGGCTTGACAGTCGAATCATGGTCCCTGGTATGGCCGTTATGTGCACTACACTTCTAGTAGCCATATATGAGACTTGGGTGATAGTGAGAACCAATGCTCAATATTCACGCATGCGCCTGCAAATGACAGCTGGTAGCATATAACTACGTGCGACTGATAATGATGACAGAAGTACTATTTTTCATTATACACCCTATATTTTATTTGATTGGTAATATATTTCCTTATATTTAATGTGTAGTATATTACTATGTTTTTTTCTTCTTTAATATTTCACAAATTACAAGTATATTACAAGTGGCGGGAGTATTGTTCCGTTTAAAGCCCATCGCGCTCTGTGAAATCTGCTCCATTTATTTATTTATTTTTGATAAATAATATGTGAACACTTGGTGCCTCATCGTGCACACGTTCTTTCTCAGAGATACAACCCTCAATAAGGAGAAACTGCTTTATGTAAACTTGCTGCTAAAGCACATTAAAATAGCCACTGTGTATATGTGAACTAATATATTTTTTTTTCTTCCAGAGATTTAAGAAGCGCCGGAATTAAAGCAGTTAAAACAGGAAGTTTCAGAAATATGGGAGCCATGTCTTCTGTGTAAGGAAAAGTTGTTTTGGTGGGAAGGTTGAAAATGATTAATAATTAAACTACAGCCCTATAAATGATTATTTGCCATTACTTATCATTTTTTTTCCAGAAAGTTAGGTGAAAACTCTCTTAAGCACCTTCCACCGAGATTTATTAATTCCAGTTTTTTAGCGACGATGTAAGTATTATGGTTTTGGTGATAGTTTTATGCTTTTTCAATGTTCAGAATAAATTGGTTTTTTTTTAATTGATTTTAGATTAAATGTCGAAAAAGACCTGTTATCATAAGGTTTACAATAATAACAGCGATTATGCAGCCCGCCCTTCAATTCGAGACACCTCTAATTCTGAGACCTATATATATATATATATATATTCAATCTTGGTGTCAGTCCAACAACCTTATAATGAATGATGCAAAAACTGAACTCATTCATTTTTCATCATGTTTTAAGCCTGCTCGCTGGACTCCTTCTATCAAAATAGGAGATGCATTCATTGAGCCTTCGCTGTCCTGTAGAAATCTTGGAGTTGTTATGGAC